CTATAATTTATTATCACAGTCTATTATCACATACTTATGCTCTAAAGTATACAATAGTACAAAGTCTAGAGTAGTAACCTAGATTTTGCTAATAACTACCCATTCCTAGACCCTACCTAGCTACCCTACCTATACCTATACCTAGTCACGTGCTACCCTACCTATACCTATCCCGAGTCACGTGCTACCCTATCCAAACCGTTTGGGTAGGGTACCTCATGTACCCTACCTAGTTCCTACCCATAAATCACGTGACTATACCTATACCCTACCCTACCCTACCCATCCGCCAGCCTACGTACACTGCTGCGCTGATTAGAGATCTAGAGGCTTTTAAAGCCTTTCTCTAACTTACACAGTACTACACTAAAGTCTGCCCCTAGTAGCTTACCCTGTGCTGTGATAGTAGTAAATAACTACACTCTTTCCTTACTCTCCTTCTTACTCTCCCTCTTCCTCTCTCCTACTCTTTAGGCACTTACCTGCCTCTAAATATAGACAAGGGATCTACCCTAATGTACACAGATTGCTTAGTCTCCCTAGTTAGAAGGGGAGCTGTAGCATAATATAGTAGCAACACCTATGCAGGCAAGAAATGCTTTCTAGGGTAGTGTATTTGCACTATAATTCTATAGCTTAGCACGTCGTATATGCCCTTTAGGAGGCAAGATAGTGGACTTCATCCTCATCAATTAGACGTAAAATGAATACCAACCAACCAATCAACCAACCACCTAACGCGGCTATTATACTTCAGAAGTTTGAGAAGAAGCCTAGCGAGCTGCCGCGCACTCCATCTCCATTACTTAACGTCAATCGGCTTGCAATTGAACAGTTTTGTAAGGCAGTAGTAAAGGATCACAAAAGTTATGAGGCAAGGAAGCTGGTGCGCATGTTCAACTACTTAGCAGCTCGCAACGCGGTTCTTAAGGTGGAAAATGAAGGCCTCCGCGCCCAAATTGACACTAAGAAGACCTCTTGGAAACACCGCCAAGCCCTGCCGTTGCAGGCCTCTAAGTCCTATACTTCTACTGCAGTGTTCTGGTCTCCAACAAAGGTGGATGAGGCCCAGCATCAACTGCGTCTCAACGCTCGCGCCCAGGCTGAGGAGACTGCTGCAAAGCTTCGCAAGAAGACTGAGCAGGCTGAGAAGAAGGCACGGAATGAGCGGGAGAAGGAGGAGAAAAGCAATCGTCAAGCAATGGCAAAGGAGGAGAAGGCTAAGAGGAAGGCTGCTAAACAGGCTGAGAAACAACAAAAGAAGCAGGAGCGCGACGCACTCAAATCTGTCCAATTACCCCAAACAGGCAAGCGCAAGGCCTCACAGAAGCCTCCTACAGAGCCAGCAGCTAAGAAACAGCGTGCGCGTGGTGCTACTCGCGTTGTAGTTGAGGTGTCACCTTCCCCGACACCTCTAACAGTTACCACCTGCAGCGGCCGCACCACACGTTTAAATAAGAAGTGGGAACAAGTCAAGCACTGTAGAGCTTAGTACACTGTTGCGATAGAATTTTAGGCAATAATTACTATTGTATGTTGCTCTATAGCCTCATTTTGGTGGGTGCCGCTGGTGGTTTTCGCGTGCACAAGATGAAACTGTGCACGAGGTGCACGGACACTGTATGCCTTGTGATCCCTGCGCAGTAGAGCGTTTCTCAGAATCCCAGCGGCTGGCGGTTGGTATTCCGGGTGCTACGGAAGGCGATCTAATAGACCATGCATATCTATCGGCGCGTGAGCCTGACGAATGATAGCCTGCTATCTATGCTCAACCCCGCCCTGCCCCCGTTGGCTTTGTAAAACACGCGCTAAGTCGCGTTTTGGCGCCTCGCCTGAACGCGTGCGGCGCAACGTGCTCTCGCGTTGTATCTTGACCAAGAACACTCACTCATCTCGAGACAATAGCTTGACGATAGATCTATTCGCGTTTAATCCTCAGCATCGCGTGCTGGTGTGCAAGCTCTGCGGTTACGCTGTTAGTCTTCAGAACCCTTTGATTTTGAGACCACACCATTGACCATAACGTCGAAAACAATCTCAGGCATCTGGCAAGAACTAAGTATTGCGCAAGTTGACTCGCCAATGCTCGCGTCGGATCTCATGATGGTCTTTCTTGATACTGTAGACTGCAGTAGATACAGAGACCTGGTAAAGTTGGAGAGAATATAGAGCAGCTGTGGAGACCTACCTGATATCAATCAAGGATAAGGTACGCCTGCACCTGCGGCGCAATCATAAAAACTGCAAGCGGGAAGCGATGTTTGAATAATTTTTGTGCTCGTCTCGAGAGTGAATCGGGACTTTCCCAAATTGATGTTAGTCAAAGACATAAAGCTCATCCAATCAGGTACTAGCTTGATGCCAAGCCACGTGATGGCGCGATCGCGTGTTTCCGTCTCCCAGCCTCCCGTCACCCCTCGACTGCAACTTCGACCTCATCACCATCTGGTGGTTCTCAACATCGCAGTCACTGTTCCGCGCATCACCTCGCACTATTGACCTCTCCCTTCCTCCAAATCGCGCCCTCCGCCCCCGCTTCGCTCGTTGCGCGTATTGAGTATTCGACGCAACCCACCATCTTCGTGAATATCATTGAAGCCCCTGGCGGTAAAGGTAGACGGCCGTTGCTCGAGCTTCGTTCCATCTATCGGCTGTCGTCCGCGGGGTGGGTTCTCGCTTGGGGCTTGTGCGCGTACCCAGTGTTTGCGACGGTCGTGGTGAACAATACAGAGTCAAGGCTGCTCCACAAAGCCTGGGCGGGCGGGTTCCCTTGCGCATCAGCGTTGATCAGTTCTCTACGCCAAGTGTGTCAAGGGGGATTTGGTGAGTAGCAGCGTATTTTTTTGGTTAGCTAATATGAATTTTGATCTTGATCACAAGGCGCTTGCCTATCCTGCTTCGAACCTTTCTGACGACGAACCTGTAACGCCATGTCTCTGTTCCCTCGTCTTCCGGTGTGACGACGCTAAGCTCGCAACCCTGCTCCTCGTCGCCAGGATACCCACAGCCCACGGTACCGCAGACTCTGAATTCGTGTTGCAGTATGATGGCGACAGGTTGATGCCTACCAATGTCAGGCTGGTGAGTGGCAGAGGACATCTGAAGCCAACACAGCTCGACAATCTTGTGCCTCGGAAGGGCAAGGGGAAGCAGCGCCGCGACATCAAAACCCTCCAGTTGTCCACGGAGCAGCCGTCTCCTGTCTGGTGTCCAGCGAGCACTACAACGTTCAGTCCAAGGCCAGGGCATGAAGCTGCTCTCCAGCGTCTCATAGATCTCGCCAAAGAAACGAAGATTCACGTTGTTTTCGACTTCAACCAGCTGCACCAGTCCTACAAAGGTTCCTTTAAAGCCTTCGGCAAGGCAGCTCAGGGGCTGGTTAGGTACCCAGTCGAGGCGCCACTCATTGAACGAGGGCTGAGGAATGCAAGCTGGGAGGTGTTTGCACCTACCGAACTTGCTGAGGCGCCGCCTGCTTACCAAGGCTTACGTAGGCGGAAGCGCCAAAGGCAGGGTACGTCATCAGAATCCTTTCCTCCATAATGCCTCTCCTCATCAACTGACCCGTACAGAAAGTTGCGGCTCACCTCCTCCGCCGCCCAGGAGCTGGACTCCCACAACGCCGAGGGCCGGATCGTACACAACCGAGAAGACGGTATCAGTAAGTCCCGAGACCGAGGCTGCCGCACTGCGACACGCGCAACTCGACTTTCACACCAACATCTACATCAATACGATCGTGGAAGACCGAGTCGCTGCGCGTATCGAGGAGCTCAACGCCTCGCAGGCCGCAGCCATCGACGCCGCCGTCGCCAAACGTCTCGATGCGTATTTCAGCTCGCCATCGCATGCCGAGCGACTCGACGCCGCAGTAGACAGACAAGTCGACGCAACTGTAAAAGCTCGTCTCCCAGACGCCGTACAGGATGTTTTCGTCTCAGCAGACCCGCCCAGCTCCCCTACATCCGTCACCTATGACGCCCGCGGCAACCGCTACCCCAAGCTAACCCCCCTCACGTCAGCAGGCAAAACGTTCCTCCCGCACCTGCGCACCCACCTCCTCGACCAATTCTCGCTCTTCCAGCAACAGCAACTTGAAGTATTCAAGAAGCGCATCAGCGAAATGTACGACGACGTCGCCTCCTCCGCTGCGGACGACCGCATCCGCGAGCAGGCCGAGTGGGAGACCGAGCGCGAGGAGCACTCTGTTGAGATCTCGCTGCTGCGGCGCGACACGCTGGACGAACTGTGGCTCGAGGGGCAGAAGGTGCTTGAGGCTGGCCAGGAGCAGGTTGGGGAGTTGGTTGACCAGCTTGGTGAGGAGTTAGTGGACAGGGTGGGGGCGCTTGTGCAGAGGATTGAGGGGCTGAATGGGTATTGTGTGCGGAGGATTGTTGCTGCTGAGGTGGCTAGGCAGTGGCGGAGGACGGGTGGTGTGCCGAAGGGTTTTACGAAAAGGTTTGGTAGGTTTCTATTGACGTACCCAGATCCGAAGTTGTTGGGAAGGAAGATGAGAGGGGACATGGAGTGGGTGGACGTCTCGTTCGATTCGTCTTTTGGATACTCTCGTCCTTGAGATGGTGAAGTCACGACAGCTCTTGCATAGCTGGTTTATGTATGTAACCATGTAGCTCATCTATAGCAATCTACCAATTTTTTCATACACATCACGTCATCTCCTTCCCCATGACGTTGCTTTGGAGCAACGCCTTACACGCGATATCGGGCCGTTGCTACCGCATGACAGCGGTAAGTCTAGCTAGAAGCGCTAAGCTCACTTCGCCAACCTTACTCCAGCCACATCTTGTTCCTTTTTCTTCTCTCTTCCACCCGTAGAAGTCGACCTTCGTACTCTTTGATTTGCCTGCAGTCTGGGCATTCAGCCGTCCACCAGTGATGATGTGCTAGCGTTCCTTGAGCTTGTGATTGCTCCTTGAGGCGACTGGTCTGCGTCCGTCCTCATCATTTTGCAGCAGCAGCATTTAGCGGCACAGCAGACCTAGGCGTTACTACCTAATCAAAATAACGCCGAGAATACGCTGAAAGACAGCAATGAGGGAAGAGGGTGGCATTACAAGGCGTTCACATCGGGCCCTAGCAGCGGCCCAATGCCTCAATAGCATCCGTCAGGCCCAGACAAGCCTTGCTTTACAAGCCTTACTTCACGACACTCGCAGCTTGGTAAGCCCATCTTCTTAGTCTTTATTAGAGCTGTGGTTGAATAATTTGATTTATCTTAAGGCGGAGAGACTTAATTCTTTGCCTTTTGTTACTAACGTACTCTATCACCGAACCGGTTGTAAAGAAAGTAGGGGAAGGACTAGACTACTTTCTTCCTAGTCTAGAAGGACCTAGACAAATCTAGACTAGCTTTGTCTTAATAGGAAGCGTATAGCCTAATAGAGATGAGGTAGGGTTATGTAATATAATAGACAAGTTATTATATTAGATACTAGGTAGAGATTCCTAGGCTAGGTACAGAGCGAACAGAGGAGGGAGAGCTAGAGGTATTTATACTTCCTCTCCTCTGTTTGTATTTCTAAGCAGAACGTTCTAGACTCCTCTAAGTGGGTCTACTTTATCTATGCTTAGTATTGCTGCATATGCAAGCAAGATTACGTAGGTGCATGCGTAATCGTATACGTCAGCATCTTACAGAGTAGGCTACTCTATTTGTAAGCAGAGGGTCTAGAACATCTCTAGTTACTAAAAATAGAGAACAGCATATCTTAAGAACGAGAGGAGATACAGGCTTCGTAAGCACACCATTCTAATCCTCTCTTTTAGGAGATTATAATAACAATGCTTAGGTGAGCATAGCGCTATACCCAAGAAGGAAATACGCTAGAGAAAGATTATAAGAACAAAGTCTTATAACTTTACACCGGTCATATCACCGAACCAGTCAGAAACTATTGGCGCGCCTAACTTATATTGCAGCAACTTGAATTACTTGCTATTAAACAGTAATCTAGCGTACTGTGTACTTGCATTAGATTTAGAATCTTCTCCTGTATCTTTCTAACACGTTTAAGCGTTGTGCCTAGTGCCTCTATAGTTTCTATAGTGCTGTTAGGCTAAATAGGTCCTTTCTTAAGTATCTGCACTAACGTACCCCACGGGCAAGTCGGACACACAGGCGAGTCAGACACTTTTGCCAAGACCCTACCAAAACACCCTTACTACACCAATGCCTCTCCACAAACGCCAGTCAGACGCGTTAAAAGAAGCTCAGATACAGCTTGCGCTTTAAGCTCTTAAACAAGACGCGACTCTCTCTCTACAGCGCGCTGCAGCTATCTATAGAGCTCTCCTACAGACACTAAGCGACCGACGCGCTGGACGACCTTCACAAGTTAATTCTAACGTAGATTATCACCGAGCCAGCTATATCACCGAGCCAGCCATATCACCGAACCAGCCACTTTCTCTTGGCACAACCACCTTTTACCCTAACACAATATGCCTTAATAATAATAACTTTAGAATACTACTAGAGAAGGTAGAGTTATCCTTACTATCTAGGCCTTCTATGCTAGCTATTTTCGCAGTATCTACAGCGCTGCTACAGCATTAAACATACCTTATTAGCAGGTCTCTAATTGCCTTTGCAATATCACGTTTTAACTAGACGTACACACTAATTACTAGAAACTTACTATACTAGAGGAGCAGATAATTGTCTAGTATATACTTAACCTTAATTTGCAAGCATTTGCGCCCTAGCTATGTAAGGTGGCAGATATAGCTAATAAGATACTTAGTGTGCGTAGTGAAGAGCCTATTAGTAAACTATAGGCTAGCAGGCTTGTAACGTGTTTAGACAAGCTTAAAATAGCCTTTAATTAAGCTAAGGATAGACAGAGGATACTATAGGAAGATCCTAAGATAATTAGCATATAGTTTAAGCTAGTAGAGGATACTTAAGTTAAGTATAGTGTTTGCAATAACAACATGCACAACTTTAATAAAACTAGGTTCTAGATAAGCGTTGCTTTATATTTAAAGGTTGTCACAGGCTTAGAGAGACGTGCTTAGCTAGAGCTTGTTCAGCCAGGTGATCGCGAGTGGGTTACCGTTATCTAGAGCATCTGCGCCGCTAGGTATGCAACCCCGCCTTTTATTATCTACAAAGGACGCGTCCACATCTCTGCCTACATTGGGAAAAGTTTTTCCGTTGTTGAAATCAGGAAATCGTGGCATTGTACTATAGGCAACAGTAGGACTTGTAGGCCTACAATAGTTATTTAATGTGCATTCAATGTCTAGCTAATTTTAAGCTAACAGCTCTAACAGTCCTAATAGCTGTAATAGCTACAACAACTCCTAATCCTGCTACAATAGTAGCTCTGCTTAATAAACTATACTTTTATTATATTAATATACTACTAAGTCTCCTCTTTAAAATAAGCTATTAAAAAATATTATAGGCCTATTAATAGAATAGTTATTAAGCGTAGAAGGTTTTAAGCTTAATATTCCTTACTAAGACACTAAGTTAAGATTCTTTGCTAGGGCTCTAGCAGCCTAAATATTAGAAAATACAAGAATATTATTCAAGAATAGTAGGTAAACTAAGAATTCTATGCCTAGGCCTGCCTATTCCGCAGTGTGTGCTTGTTAGCAGGTGCATTGTTGTGTGCTGTTGCAGCTGCTACGTCGTGTGCTGTTGCAGCTGCTACGTCGTGTGCTGTTGCAGCTGCTACGTCGTGTGCTGTTGCAGCTGCAGCTGATGTGTTGTGTGCTGGCGCAGCTGCAGCTGCCATGGTGTGCTGTCGCAACTTCAAAACACAAACCTTCAACAAACAAACCTTTAACACTCTATAACTTGTATTGTAGTAGGCCTACAATAATAATTTTTTGCTTATTTTAAAGGTACAATTTCGCTCTATCTGTGCATAAAATATCGCAATTTTTAAATATTTAATACTAGTACTAACTAAGGGTAGCTATGCAACAATATTGTAATGTTGTTTTAAGTTAATTAAATATAGGCACTTAGTGTTTTAGCTATTAGTAATATTAGCGCAAAATTAGGGCTATTAGGCGCAAATTAGGGCTGTTAGGGCCATTAAATGGCTATTGCACGACTATGCCACAACTGTCAGCAATAGCCAGTCTAGGCCGGATTTCGAAAAACTTTTCCCGATGTAGGCTGGCGGATGGG